AACTACCTTTCCCATGGCTAACCTGCACACCTCGTTGCTAAGACCAAGTCAGGCGAGACGGCACACGCTTGCAGTCCCAGATACTGGCACTGAGGCAGGAAGGTTGTTCGAATCCAGGTACTGAAGTCAAGTCAACGAGACAGGTATGCTAATATCGACCCAGTAGCAGGTGGCAAAGGAAAGAAAGCATGAGAGAAAGGAAAGAAAGAAAGAAAGAAAGAAAGAAAGAAAGAAAGAAAGAAAGGAAGGAAGGAAGGAAGGAAGGAAGGAAGGAAGGAAGGAAGGAAGGAAGGAAGGAAGGAAGGAAGGAAGGAAGGAAGGAAGGAAAAAGAAAGAAGGAGGGAAGGAGAGGGGAGGAAGGGAGAAGGGGCAAGGAAGGAAGGAAGGAAGGAAGGAAGAAAGGAAGGAAGGAAGGAAGGAAGGAAGGAAGGAAGGAAAGGAGGGAGGGAGGGAGGGAGGGAGGGAGAGTGGAAGGGGAGGGACAGGGAATGAGAAGGGAGGGAAAGAAACATTTTGAGCTGTTCTCTAGTTAATCACCGGGCTAGAAGGGGAGTGTGGAGAGATTAGAACGGTAGGCCAGGGCAGGGAACGTGGCTTAGTGCTAGAGTGCTTGCCTAGCACACACGAGGCCCTGGGTTCAATTCTCCTTGGTATCACATAAACAAAAAATGAGTAAGATTAATAAAAGAAAAGAAAAACCAGCCATTAACATGATTTTTTAAAGAGCCATAGGTCACAATAACAACAGCAACAATAAACTTGGTTTTACATTCCTGAATATATACATTGAAACCATCCATAACTTGAACCCCAGGAAGCCAATCCCCAAGTGCCAACACACACACACACACACACACACACACACACACACACACACACACACACAGGCTCTTGTCTCTTCATTCAAGCAGACCAATTTCTACCTGCTCTTCCAGGACATGGCGCTGTTCTGGCTAGCACCTGTAACGGTTCAGTGAATCTTTATTTCATAGAACGCTCAGTCTCAAGCACTGTGGTCTAACGGCAGTGTTTCCAGTTTGCACATCATCTTCCTAGCAAGCACAAGGCACACATCAAGATATTTCACTTTCAAGAAGGAGTTTGTATATCATCTTTTCGCTGATACGGGGGCAGGGGCGGGGCGGGGGCTTAGAGCAGCACAGTTCAACCTGATTGCTCTCAACAGATTGTCCAAGGCATCCCTGACTGAAATCAAGTCTCAACTGGCAGAAAGAAGCGCTAATTCGTGGTGACTGTTTGCTTTCTAGATCAGGAAGTTGGGTGACTTTCCTAAGACCAGGAGGGCAGAGAACCAGCAGTAAAACCATGATTACTTGGTTTCTTTCAACACTGCCTTCCTCTTCTGCTAGTACTTCCAAAGAGTTCATCATTCTGTACCTCAATTCCTTTTCGATCCGACCAGAGGAGAATCCATGGAAACACACACGCTATACACCCCAAAGATGGCGTCAGATTTTCACACTTTTTCTTCCAATCATGAGGAAAACGTTCTGCAGGTCCCCGATTTTTTTTTTTCATTTTCATTTAATTTAATTTTGGTTTACATGAGCAACTTGAGCTGATCCTCCGGCCCCCAAAGCCTGCAAATCCCAGTACTGGGGAGGATGCATGATAGGGATGTTAAACCTGAACACAGGGCAGGAGAAAATCCCCAAGAGGCAATGAGTTCCCTCCCAGGTCCCCGAACCCGTCTGCCACCGAGAGCATCTCTCTCCTTTCTTTTTCTTTTTCTTTTTCAAGCAGTGCTGTGGCTTGAACTCAGGGCCTGAACATTGCCCCTTAGCTTTTTTTTGCTCAAGGCTGGTGCTCTACTACCCAAGCCATAGCTTCACTACTGGCCTTTTGACAGTTAATTGGAGTTAAAAGTCTCACTGACTTTCCTGCCCAGGCTGGCTTTGAATCGGATCCTCAGGCCTCAGGCTCCTGAGTAGCTAAAATGACAGGTGTGAGTCACCGACCCCCTACGGGAGGACCAAGCTCTGTAGGCCACAGAAATACAAGGTAACCACAGCCAAGAATGCTTCTGTCCATCCTCCCTAGAAAAATTGTATTTCCAGTAACAATGGGCTGTGAGAAGAAAGTCCTTACAAAAAGACAAGAAAGAATCCAGCCTTTTAGGCAAACAAAACATTTAATTCGCATGGCTAGAGACTGGTTGTAACATTCTGGAATAGTCTCAGAATTTTCTGGGGGACAGCCAAGAAATATGCAAATGCCAACTGATTAAAGGTGAGAGAAAGAAGCCTAGCTTAGTGACTCACACCTGTAATCCCAGCTCTTGGGAGGCCAAGGCTGAGGAGTTCCATGACTCCACAGCAAGATTCTGTCTTTTTTTTTTTTTTTTAAAAAAAGGTAATAATAACAATAAGAGAAGGAAGCATTTGTCTCCTCAAAACATTGGGACCTGGAGAAAAGTCAATCAGAAGAAATTTGCAAGCCTCACCTCCACCAATCTCCCTCCACACCGGGGAACAGCTGTGAATTCCAGTCAAAAGTTCACCTAAGCCAGGGATGTGGCTCACACCTGTAATCTCAGCCACTCGGGAGGCTGAGATCTGAGAATCATGGTTTGAAGCTAATATTGGCAGGAAAGTCCATGAAACTCTTATCTATAACTAACTACTACCAAAAAGAGAGAGAAAGAAAGAAAGAAAAAGAAAAGATAAAGTCAAAAGCAGAGCTGTGGATCAAGTGGTAGATTGCTAACCTTGAGCAAAAAATCAAAGCTCATGGATAGCTCCCAGGTCCTGAGTTCAAGCCCCAGGACTGTTCCCTCACCCCCAAAAAAGGAAAAGTTCAGCTCCTTCTGAAGACAGACTCAACAACTATATTCTGCGTATGAGAAACCTCACTGTGAAAAGCTTGAATGAAGGTATTAGTATTTAATTTTGGTAGATTATACACATGCAATGATATTTACCAACCTAATCCTATTCCAGGGTGTGGTTCTGTCTTGTTGTGCATATTTGTATCATCCTGCAACTACCTGCAAACTTGAAACTTTTTCTTTTTGGCCAGTCCTGGGACTTGAACTCAGGGCCCGGGACCTGTCCTTGAGCCTCTCTGTGCTCAAAGCTAGCCCTCTACCACTTGAACCACAGTGCCACTTCTTGCTTTTTCTGAGTAGTTTGTTGAACATGAGAGTCTCATGGACTGGGTTTGAACCACCACCCTCAGATCTCAGCCCCCCAGGTAGCTAGGATGCTAGGCATGAGCCACCAGCCACACCTGAAACTTTCCATACCAGTTATCTGCTCATTCCCCTCCCTCATTCCTGGCCGCCAGCCTATTACCTTGCATTTCTATAAGTTTTACTTTGTAGGTAGCTCAGAAGTACAGTCCTCTATTGTTCTATCGTTTATCTTTTTGTGACTGGCCTATTTCACTTAGTGCAGTATCTTCAAGGCTCACTCACCTGCTAGCATAGAAAACGTTTCCTTCCTCTTTGAGGCCAAGTAATATTCTGTTGAATGGATGTATACAGCACATTGTGTTTGTTCATTCAGTGAAATCTACTTCTATATTTTAGGACTATGGTTCTATTGAACTAATATTTCAGAGAGAGAGAGAGAGAGAGAGAGGAGAGGCAGTTGATGATGGTGTTAACACTCTAGAAGAAAAAAACCAACACGCTACCTAAGGCTAGGTATCCAATGTCATCAAGACGCAGCCCTTCATTCCTTTTTATACCAACCATATAAAAGTCTTGTTCACTGCACATTCCCAGTTCAGAAACAGGGTTTGGGGCCCGGTGCTGGTGGCTCACATCTGCAATCCTAGCTACTCAGGAGACTGAGATTTGAGGATCACCGCTGAAAGCCAATCTGAGCAGGAAAGCCTGTGAGACTCTAATCTCCAATTAACCAGCAAAAAAGCTGGAAGGGAAGGTATGGCTCAAGTGGTAGAGGGCCAGCCTTGAGCAAAAAAAAACAAAAAGCAAAGTGACAACAGCTAGGCCCTGAGTTCATGCCCCAGTACCAGCGGGCGTGTGTGTGTGTGCGCGCGCACACACACACACACACGCACACACACACACACACACACACCACAAGACACTGAGCTAGATTCAGAGCTCAGCTCTATTCTTCTCTTCCCACCCTCGTCTTTCCTCTCACTGGCACACGGGAGGGGGACAGTGGTGATTTTAGTCTCTTTATTTGGGGGCTGTACTGGGGCTTCACCTCAGGCCCCCCCCCCCCCCGCTAGACAGGTGCTTTATCCCTTGAGCAAATCCACCCGTCCCGTGCTTAGTCTATGAACGCGCTGGCAACCGCCCAATATGTGAAGCGCAGCGCGTCGCATCTCAAGTCCTCTGCTCTCTCTTGTTCCAGAGGAGCAAGCACTGAGGGCCAGTGGCTCGGGCTGTCTGACTTCGGAGAAAGGCTTGGACCGACGAGGCCAGGCTGGAGAGCGCCCACTGTCCCCGGACCGACGAGGCCAGGCTGGAGAGCGCCCACCGTCCCCCCATCCTGCCCTGTGCCCAACGCGCTCCACACGCGCGACGCGGGACGAAGCCCCCCAAAACTGGTAAGTGGTTGCCAGTGTGAGCCATGACCTCAGAGGGGGACACCGAGGCGCAGCTAGGAGCTCCAGGATCTCCATGGGGGGGGGGGGGGGGGAGACGGAGATGGAGAGGAAGAGAGAGAGCAGAGAGGAGAGAGGGGAGAGGGGAGATGGCCCCCGCTGGCGATCAGCGTGGCGGGTCCCGCGGGGCGCGTGGAGTCGGGGCGGGGCGCGGTGGTTCTCGCCCCGCGTGGCGGCCCGGGACCCCGCGTGGGGCCGGCTCGGCGCGGTGGGGGGGCGCCCGGGGCCGTGGGGGGCCGGGGCCGGGCTGGGCGCGTCTGCCGCCGCCGCCGCTGTCCCCGGAACCTCAGCCCGCCGGGGCCGGCCTGTCCGCTCCCGCGGGCGCACGGCGGGTCCCCCCCGTCCGTCCTCCCCGCCGCCCCGACAGCGCCTCCGCGCGGGCCCGGGGCTCTCACCTGCCTGCGGCCCGCGGGAGGTCGGCCCTTCATGCTGGGCCGCCGGGCTGGGAGCCGGGCTGGCCGGGCTCGGGACGGTGGAGACCGGACAGCCTGGGCTCCACCTCCGCACGCCGCCTTTTACGGCCCGGTGCGTGTGTGTCACCGTCCCCCCCCCCCCCCCCCCCCGCTCCCTCCCCGGCGACTCCCACCGACCAGGCCCGGGAGGACCCGGACGGGACCCGCCGCGCCCTGGGCTCGTGCGGGGTCAGGGCGTGCAGCCCGGGGACTCAGTCCCCAGAGCCAGCCAGCCCGGCAGGTGGCCCTGGGCCTCAGTTTACTCATCTGTGTAAGGGGGGGCGAGGAGAAAGGAAAAGAGCAAGGGGAACAACCAACTCCCTTAAACAAAGGAAAACGCTCACTGGCTCCAGGCGAAGCAAGGTGCTGTTGTTACCTCCGTGGTGTGGGGGGGTCTCCAAGTAGTCTTTGATCTTTAACCCTGAAGATGGTGAGTGTGTGTGTGTGTGAGTGTGTGTGTGTGTATGTGTGTGTGAGACTGTGTGTTGGTCCTGGGGCTTGGCACTGACCCTAAGCTTTTTTATCCCTTTTTTCTGACAATCATGGGGCTTGAACTCAGCTCTTTGACTCAAGGCCAGTGCTCTACTGCTTTGAGCCACAGCTCCACTTCCAGTTTCCTGGTGGTTTATTGGAGAGAAGGGAGGGGAAGGGGAAACAAAGGAGGAGGCTACAATGCTTGATAAGAAATGTACTCATTATCTTGCCCACGTAACTGGAACCCCTCTGTTCAGTATTTTCACAATAAAAAAAAAAAAGACTCTCACTGACTTTCCTGCATGGGCTGGCTTCGAACTGTGATCCTCAGATCTCAGCCTCCTCAATAGCTAGGATTACAGTGCCCAGCTTTGTTCAAAGCTAGCGTTATACTACTTGAGCCACAGCTCCACTAAAGGCTTTTATTATTATTATTATTATTATTTAATGCTTAATTGGAGGACTTTCCTACCTGGGCTGGCTTTCCACCACGATCCTCCGATCTCAGCCTCCAGGATGATAGGCATGAGCCACTGACACTGGACTGAGTTGGTGGTTTTTTGATGCATGCTAGTAGGTTGGGAGAAGCTATATATGCACAGAGACAAGGCAATGCTTACATTATGACAAAGGGTGTCGTTAACAATACTACTCATTCATCGCAGCCTATTGATTTAAAAGTAGGGACACCTACTCGTGACATCCAGCTTGAATTTTTACCTGATGAGATCACATTTGCAGACAAGGTCAGTGTGATCTGTTCCCCAATTCCTCAATGTGGTTCTCACGAGCATTTCTTTTTCAGAAAAATAGAATATTACCTACATGTACTGGCTCCTAGTTGGTTTTCTATTAATACACTAACTCATCAAAGAGTTAATCTGTAAGCATTTAGCAGGAAGAGCTCTTCTAAGGCAAATAAGTATTTCTCTTCTCTTTTTTCCTTACGCTGGTACTGGGGCTTGAACTCAAGGCCTGGGTATTCTCCCTTAGCTCTTTCATTCAATGCTGGAGCTCTGCCACTTCAGCAGCACATCCACTTCCGAGTTCTTGGTGGCTATTTTGAGATAAGACTCCCACCCACTTTCTGTCAGGATGGCTTTCCACTGCAGTCCTCGGATCTCAGTCTCCTGTGTTGCTAGGATCATGAGCCACCAGGACCTAGTTACTTGGGGCTTGAACTCTGGGCCTGGGTGCTGTCCCTCAGCAATTCAGCTCAAGGTGAGCGCTCTACCGCTTGAGCCACAACGCCACTTCTGGTTTTCTGAGCGGTTTATTGGAGGTAAGAGTCTCACGGACTTTCCTGCCCGGGCTGGCTTTGAACCATGATCCTCCAATCTCAGCCTTGTGAGTAGCTAGGATTACAGGCGTGAGCCACTGGCGCTTGGCTACTATCTTTTGATTTGTATCCTTCATATATCTCTTGTATCTGTAGGAAGAACAAGCTTCCAGAAATCTGAAGAACTCTCAAGAAGACTAGATACATGGAAGGAGCTGAGCAGCCCTCTGACTACCATCTTCCAATTTGATCTCTTTGGTAATTTCTCATATATTAGCATGGATGTACATTCTTTTCAAAGCAAGACAAGAACAACCCAAAATACCAAGGCCATTCTTAGTGCTTAAGGCATTTTTTCTTTTCTTTGTCAGACTTGTGGCTTGAACTCAGGACCTGGGCACTGCACCTGAGCTGTTTTGTGCTCAAGGGTAGCATTCTACCACTTGTTGCCGTAGCTCCACTTCCAGACTTTTGGAGATCAGATGGAGATAAGAGTTTCATACTTTCCTTCTAGGACTGACTTTGAACCACCATCCTCAGATCTCAGCCACCTAAGTAGCTAGGATTATAGGCATGAGCCACCAGCACCCGGCTGCTTCAGGCATCTTGGTGGACTTGGTTATAAGGTGTCTTTGGTTCAATCTGTATCTGAAAACACAAGAGAAATTATGGAAAGTTCTTGCCCCCTAGTCTGGCTGCTGACTTCACCTATAGACAATTAAATCCAGAGAATCAGTATTAGATCAAGAAGATGACTTTCATTCAAAGTCAGCTCCCCAAGAAGCTGGAGGACCCCATCATAAAATCCATCCTGCACAGATCAATCAATTTGGTGTTTGCAAACTGGCGAGCGCCCTCTGGAGAGGGTCACACAGTACATATCTGATTGTAATGCTAGTCACCAAAGCCTTTAACCTCAAGTTTCAAAATCTAGGATCTTTATTCCCTAAGGTTACTCTTGTCACTGAAGAGTTGGCCCACAGGGGACAGGCCAGAAGGAAGGGATGCCCGGAGTCCCTCTTGCTGATCTTTGTGGTAATGGAGGAAAAGATACGTCACCTGATTATGATGGCAGGTAAAGCTCCTGTGAGGTCAAATGGGACATTGTCCAGGGATTTGCTCTAATGTTCCTGCTTCAATGCAGATTCCCAGGCCCCACCCAGAGTTCTTGCAGAAAGTTTTCTTGGGTGGGGTCCAGGAATCAGGTTCTTTTATAGGCCCCTGAAGCAGTTAACATGATCAGCTATAAAACCAGGCTCTGGTGGCTCACATGTCCAATCTTAGCAACTCTGGAGGCTGAGATTTGAGCATCAGTTTGAAGCCAATCCACCCCAGAAAGTCCTAGGGTCTCTTACCTCCAACTAACCACCAAAAAGCCAGCAGTAGAACATGAGCCATGGGCAAAAAACAAAAAACAAAAACCACCCTGAATACTAGCACACACACACACACACACACACACACACACACACACACACACACACACACACACACACAGTAGCAGCAGCAGCAGCATCTATATAAGTCATCTGACCCCAAATATATCTAGACTCAAGGATAGTTATGAAGTATACATTTAGAATGTTCATTCATAGGTTAATATGGTCTGATTCAAGCAGCAAACATTCCCTAACCAGCATTTCCTGGGCACCAGGGAAACAAAGATAAATGAGACATTGTGCAGTCTTCAAGGACAATGTTTTATAAGAGAATCAATACTCAAGAGGGAGATGGCACCTGAGCATTACAGGGAATGCGCATCACCTTAGACTGCTTTATTTCCCTCTCTGTTGCTGTCTTCCCTTCTTAGTTTTTTGTTTTTGTTTTTTCAGTGTTTTTTTTTTCTTCTCTGCCTATCCTGGAGCTTGAACTCAGGGCCTGGGCACTGTCTGTGGCAGTTGAGCTACAGCTCCATTTCTAGCTTTTTGGTGGTTAATTGGAGATCAAGAGTCCCATGGATTTTCCTACCCAAGGCTGGCTACAAACCATGATTCTGAGATCTCAGCCTCCTGTGTAGCTAGGAGTACAGGTGTGTGCCCAAAGCACCTGGCTCTCATTCTTTTCTCATATATTTTCTTTTCCTTTGCCTGATATCTCTTTTCACTATAACTTGTTAAATTTTTCAGGCCCTCTTGTGGAATATAAAATCATCATAATAACTAGGCGTGTATGAGTGTGTATGCATGCACATATGTGCTCCCACACCAATACTGGAGCTTGAACTCAGGACCTAGGCACTGTCCATGAGCTGTTTTGCCCAAGGTGAGCCCTCTGTCACTTGAGCCACATCTACTTTAGACTTTTTTGGTGGTTAGCTGGAGATTAAACATCTCATAGGCGTTCCCTCCCAGTCTGGCTTGAAAAGGCGATCCTCAGATCTCACCTCCTGACCAGCTAGGATTGCAAGCATGAGCCACCAGAGCCTAACTCCCTCATAAATTTTGATTCCACATCTACTATGTGCATAAACTGTTTTTTTGTTTGTTTGTTTTGTCCAGTCCTAGGGCTTGAACTCTGGGCCTAGGCACTCCCCGAGCCTCTTTTGCTCAAGGCTAGCACTCTACCACTCTAGTCATAGCACCACTTCTGGCTTTTTCTGTGTATGTGGTCCTAAGGAATGGAACCCAGGCTCTTCATGCATGCTAGGCGAGCGCTCTACCATTAAGCTGCATTCTCAGCCCTTTATAAGCTGTTGTTCCAAATGTTGATCATTTTTTAAATGAGGACAGTGTAGCCAGCAGTTCAGAGAGGAAGATGGATGTGGCCGTTTTAGGTGGTCTGTTTTATTTTTTTTTTTTTCTGAGACCAGAACTCAAACACTATACACTCATTACCTGAGCCATGTCTCCAACTCCCAAATTTCAGCCCTGATTTTTTTTCTGTTCCTTGGGTTTGAATTCAGGGCCTGGCCGCTATCCCTAAGCCTGTTTGTTCTCAAGGCTTGTGCTCTACCACCTGAACCACAGCACCACCTCTGGATTTTTCTGAGTAGTTTATTAGAGATAAGAGTCTCATGAACTTTTCTACACAGTCTGGCTTCAAACTGCAAACCTCAGATCTCAGCCTCTTGAGTAGCTAGGACTACAGGTGTGAGCCACCGGTGCCCAGCCTAAAGGGTAATTTCTTTTTGACTTGTTCTACGCTGGGAGAAAATTGTCTCAATTGTGGATTGAGATTTGGTTTGGGTTTACTTTCTTTTATTTGAATGGGGCAGAAGAGTAAC